TTTTTTTGTTTTTTTTTTTTAATTTATATTAGTAGGTTTTATTTTATTAAGTTCTATTTTATTTTATTTACTTCTTTTATTTATTTTATTTTGCTCATATTTTTATATTCAAAAAATTTAATTTTTATATTTTTTTATTGTGTTCCATTCTGATTTAAATTAATTATGTTGTTTCATTTTTTCTAACTTTTTTATTTTACTTCATTTCTTTATTTTTATTTTTCTATTTTGTTTTATTTATTATTTTGTTTTTAAATTAATTTTTTCTTATTTACATAATGTAATTTTACTTAATTTAATGTTGTTTTATTTAAAGTAATTTAATTTAATTTTTTTATATTTAATTTAATTTATTTTTTTTATTTAATATATTTCGTTTTATTTTTTTATTATATATTATATTTCATTTTATTTTCTTGTAATTATTTTGTTGTATTTTTATACATTTTATTTGATTTCATTTAATTTTTTGTTAATTTATTTTTCTATTTTAGCTTATTTTATTTTTTAGTTTGTTTAATTTTTTATTATTTTGTTGTATTTATTTTTATTTTATTTCCCTTTATATTTTGGTTTTAAATCCATTTTTTTTAGTTTGAAAAGGGGAGTAGTTGTAAATAAACGTGACCAGCTTTTTATGGAGCTCCTCATCATTTTCCGTTAAATTAAAATTCAATTTATTTGATTTGTTATTTTTGACATACATATGTACATAGAGGTACGATAAATACTTTATTTAGGTCGGAAACGATTTATGACAACAGTCAACATACAAACATTTCAAATTCGTTACTTTCTTTCTTTTTGAAATTTAAAGGGCTTCATTCATTGCATGTATGTTTGTGATGCCGCCAAATGCACAATAATTATGTATGTAGTTGTGAGCATATTTATATTAATATTTATGTAATTGAATTCGTGTTGATGTTTTTTTTTGGCTTAATATAAATAATTTTGTCGGTTTTCTTTTTTACAGATTTTGAACTTAAATGTTAATAATTTGCACATTATTGTATTTACATCCTTCCTCCTTCCTTCCTGCCGCGTCACATTCACGCTTCAACTTCCTTAAGGTCAACAATATACATTAGAATAGTTTACATAGATACAAGTTAGAAACAAGTTAACCGCTTAATAACGACGACGGTGAACGTAACGTCTGCGCACTTGTCTGTATTGATAACCAGATTGTGGATTGAAGATGTGTCCGGAGATTTGACCACTGCCGGGTGGCAGATAAGATTGAGTTGGAGCGCGTACAAAGGATGGTGCGGCAATCGGGAAAGCATGAGCCACCGGACGTGGTGCGGGTGCAAAGTGGATGGGTTGTGCTACTGGTCGCGGAGCGGCAACGAAACTAGCGCGTGACTGTGCAGGCAATGGTGCAGGTGCTGCAGCTGGCAAGGGCTCATCGATGTCGATATATTCAGGCTCAGGTGTGGCAATATCCTGGGGATTTGGTCCCTGTGTAGCCGAATCAGGTACTGATTGTGCAGCAACGCAAGCGAATATGGCAAAAGCGAGGATGATTAGTTTCTGAAAAGGGAAAGTAGGGGAAATGAGATAAATTCGAAAAGAGTACAAAGACTATAAATAATGATTTTAATTTTTTTTTATCATTTAAAATAACGTGAAAATTAGTAAGCCCAAAAAATCAAGAAAATGCTCTGAATGGATTCCTGAAGTCCCTCAAGGCAAATTTTTTTTTGAGCTATTAGAGTTAGTAGATCTATTGTTGTGCTGCCTAAATATTGCATTTCCAGAAAACTGTCAGTAGTTCGTCAAAGAAGACTAAGTTTGAGTTATTTGCCCGGTTTACTGATCAAAGATATCAATTGACAAAAGAGCTCGAAGGCGGTTTAAATGCAGTTGGCTCCGCCAGCCAAAACGATGAGCAAAAGCAGCAAAAGAGGACTAAAGGGACTGCGAACTGATGCAGGCCTCATAATTGCTGACAATATATTGACCTTATAAGCAGTGATATATGCAGGAAAATCCGGGAGGTAGTCGTGAGTGAGACGTCCCTCCTCGGTGTATATCCGGTCCTGTAGAGAAGACCACTTACACGATTTCAGGACTACGCAGTTCAGAAAACATGAAGAAGTTGCAAAGCTAGATGCCAAGGCGAAGCCACTTTTTGTACATTAAGACCTAATCCTTTTCCACAAATTTATAAGTACTCCGGAGGAAAGGAAATCATGATATGAGAGATTTAAAGACTTTGGCTAATGACAGTATTTAATACCGCCTTTTTCTTCTCAAATGACACCTAAACAAGTAAGGCGGTCTAAAATGCTTCCAGTTATATGAAGGGCAGACTTGTTTGAGGAGATATATTAGTAGTTTTGGGAGATATTGGGAGCACAACATATCATATTCATAAGTAAGACCCTAACTCCATAAATCGGTCTAAAATTTACGGTCAAATAAATTAAAATCAGTTCCAAAATTCATCTCTTTAACAAAAATAAATCCTTTCCATCTCCTTATCTTCCATCCATCCAGCCATCGTTCCTTAAGTGATATTCAACGTCTCCCGCAATCTTGAACAAAAATCTTCACTAAAATCTTTTGCATGATTTGAAAAAAAATCTTGTCTGAAGAGATGCTCAAATTTTGAAATTTTTAGAATTTGCAAAAAAAATTTAGAAAGTCAAACTATTATGAAACAACCATTTATGAGAAATGTTCTAAAATAAAAATTTACATAATTCAATTTATAAACATACGACATGCGACTATTTTTCAAAAGAAAAAAATCGAAAATGTACAAAAAGCTCCAGGCCGATAGTCGAAACTAATTAAAAAATGGCATATGTCAAGAATGTTGAAGACTTGTATTTTTTATGAGTTGAATAAGTAAAAGTAATCAAACTGGTTTAATGCTTAAGCAATTTTAGACACGCTTAATTTTATATTATGTAAGGGAATTGTTCCAGAAAACGGTGGAACAGGTGTGTTAACAAAATATTCTAATGAGATGCACAGCTACGCGCAAATGTTACAAATTTATAAATTTTGTTTTGTACATTTCTTTCTACTTTTTATTTTTATATTTGTTTTATTATTATTTTTTTGTTTTAATATTTATTTAATTTTAAATTTTATATGCTATTTTTCTTTTATTCTTTGATATTTTTTGGTTTATTTAATTATTATTCTTTATTAAATTTTTTTATTATTTATTTATTTAATTTTTATTTTTTTTAAATCTCTATTTTAATTGATTTTTTAGTTTCCGATGTATTTATTCAGCATTATAATTTTTTTCTATTTATTTATATTAACATTTATTTAATTATTATTTTCTTATTTCAATTTTTTTACCTTTATATTTTTTTTTTCAGTTTTTATTTTTATTATTTTTTTACATCTATTTAACTGTTCTTCTTTTAATTTATATATAAATTTTTCAATTTTTTTATTTAATTAAGTATAAATTATTTATTTTTATATTTTTTATATTATTGCATAAACTTTTTATTTTTGAATTTATTTTTATTTTATTTTTTGGTATTTTTTGGTTATTTATTTATTTCTTTATAATTTTTTTAAATATTTATTTTAATTAATTTTTTAGTTTCCGATGTATTTATTTATTATTATTATTTTTTTCTATTTATTTATATTAACATTTATTTAATTATTATTTTCTTATTACTATTTTTTTATTATTATAATTTTTTTTAGTTTTTATTCCTATTATTCTTTTATATTTATTTAATTGTTTTTCTTTTAATTTATATAATTGTTTATCTATTTTTTATTTTTGGTTTCTCTAATTAAAATTTTTTTGTTTTATTATTTTATTTTTATATTTATTTATTTTCATTTTTATTTGATTATTATTTTTATATTTTTATTTTAGTTTCTGTTATATTTTGGTTTGCTTGATTTTTATTTTTAATATCATATTTTTCTATTTTTATATTTATTTAATTATTATTTTCTTATTTCTATTTTTTATTTAGATTTCATTTTTTTGCTTTTATTTTAATTTTTTTGTTCTTAATTTTTATTTTTTTTTTTAGTATTTAAATATAACTCCTTTTATTTTTATACATATTTTTCTACAATATTAATATTTCTTTTATTTTATGGTTTATTAAATAATATATTTTTTTATTTCTTATTATATAAATTACTTTTAGGAATTCCTTTATTTATTTGTGTCTAATTATTTTTATTCATTTTTATTTTTTATTTATTTATTTTTTTTTAATTAGTTATTTCTGTTTTTATATTTAGTAAATACTATTATTTTATTTTATTTTGCTATTATATTTATTTATATATAAATAATTTTTATTTTATTTTAGTTATTTACTTTTTTTTTAATTTAATTTTTGCATTCATTTAAATATTTTTTTGTTTTAATTTTTATTTTTGTATATTTAGTTAGCTACTAATTTTTAGTTTAACGCTATATTTTTATACTTTTTTAATTATTGTTCTTTTGGTTTTATATTTATTTAATTATAACTTTTCTTATTTATATTTATTTAATTATAATATTTTTATTATTTATAATTATTACTTTAATTTTTTCCCTAATTTGATTATTATATCTTTAATTTAATTCTTTTTCTTATTTAGTTATTGCTTTTCATATTTTAATCCTTTTTATTTTTATATAATTATTATTCCTTTTATTTTTATATCTATGTGATTATTATTATTTTTTTTATTTTTATATTTATTAGTTATTAATTTTTTTTGTTTTGAAATTTTTTCGTTTGCACATCCTTTGGTGATTTCATTTAAATTTTTGTCTTTCACTTTTTGTTATAACTGCACGACTTTTTCACGTTTTCTATCTTTTAAATGCATATTTATTATTAAATTACGTACGACAATACACAAAACACTTCCGTTGCCTACATTATTCACCAAATGACCTCAACACGAAAATATATACAAAAAAAAAACAACAACAAGAGGCAGTTGTCTTATTTGAAAGTGATCACCTACCATTTTTACGGTATTTATTTTCAATATTTAATTAAAAAAACACTAATAAAATCGTATTCGCTTTTTTTTGCTCCTAAAATTTCAACTGAATTTTATACGTTTTTATAGAGTGACCAGCAAACAATACACACTTGCTCGAGGAGGAGTTCGAAACACAAATGATGATGAGCCACAAAGTTACTTTGTTATTTATATGTATGTGGGCCAAGAAGACTATCTGCTTAACGTTGGTGATGATGATGATGATGATGGTCGGCAGTGGCATACGAGCGTCCGTCCATCAGCTGAAGCATGAAGAAGAACATGAAGCTGTAGTAGTGAACTGTCAAAAAAGAAACAACAAAAATTATTGGCAGCAAAAAAAGCTGAAAATATGCTGAAGACAACGCACATAGCACCAGCGCAGAGAAGAAGAGGTTGAAGAAAAACAAAGAAAAAAAAAAGAAATAAGAAACGAATTTAAAAAGTAAACTAATTCAAATATAAACTAACAACAAATCAATTAATAGCAGCCGCAGTAGCAGTAGCAGCAGCAGCATCAACAGCGGCGGCCATAGCCAACGTGGTAGCCTCTGAACTGAACTATTAGACAAAGCAGCGGCATACAAGCAGCAACACCGGCTTTTCGGTCAAAGCGTCTTCGGTGTGGTCGGTCGAATACATACAAACACATGCGCTTATACATAAACGGTATTCACAATCCAATGTAGATTTTTAGCTGAAGAGCTGGAAAACGCATAATTTGATTTTCGAAAAAGCCCTGTCTGTGTGTATGACTTGTAGCTTTACTACTTCTTTTTTTAGCAGTAACTATTTCGTATCTGTTATTCATTATACTCTGCTATTGCTTATCCTAACTATGAATTAATTCACCGCCACCTTAAGTTCATGTGCCAAATGTAAGAGAACAGAGGTCTGTGGGACCATCGTTGAAGCCGAATTACTGGAAAAGATTTTTAATGCACGTTATCCAACATTCTCTCCTATAGGCGACCATGGGAGCTTTGCTGGTCCAAAAAAGTTGTCTTGTAGATCTTCTCGAATCGCACTATCCGCAGTCTGTTCACATTAATGAATTATGAGAGGAAACATTTGGAAGCAATTATACCCTTCAATCCAAAATAAACATCCTAAAAAACTGCAAGCAATTTTAAGCGAAATCGAGACTGAAAGTGATATTGCGCCGAGTGCATAGAGGCACCACAGAAATCAGGCACTTGGAACGAGAACAGGACAAACTCAGTGCAGCAGGGAAATACAAAATTACAGCTCGGATGAAACCAAAGCCAGAATAAACTACTTTTGATACGAAACTGAGTACTAAGTACTTGGAATTTGTATTGCATGGAAAGTTTTCGTGGTAACTCCTTGAACACTCAGCCGATAAAGAAGTCAAATAAAGATAATAATAATAATAATTGAAGAAAGCAATTGATGAAAAACGTCCGATTTTGGCCAATCGCAAATGAGTTCTTTTCCATCATGACAACGCCAGGCCACATGTTGCAAAACCGACCCTGGCCAAACTGAAGGAGATGAATTGGAAAATCATGCCGCATCCCCCATATTCACCCGACATTGCACCTTCTGATTATCATTTGTTTCGATCGCTGCAGAACAATTTAAATGGAAAAAAATTTAAAAATTTGGAAGACGTCAAAAAACACCTTGACACCTTTTTCAACGAGAAACCGCGCGATTTCTATGATTCAGGCATCCGTAAATTGGTTGAACGTTGGGAGTGGATTGCCGAACATGATGGCGAATACATAATTGATTAATAAAAGCGCTTTTTTCAAAAAATTTCAATTTTAGTTTGCACTTGAAATCGGGCACGAACTTATGCACTCATCCAATAGTAAAATTGTATTGTTAGAGTCTTTGACCATGATTTGCCCTGGATCTTGTAGCGATTTTTAAGCCAAAATTAACTACGTTGTCCCACGCCTGACTTGCGCAAAAATTTCTGACGACGGAAATAAAAAATTCGCTTAAGTCACCAGTACCAAACTACTGTATTATCTTCCAAGCAAAGACATGTGGTATACAAATGGCGGCAAAGCCGCAAAAACGACTAGACAAAGAGGCTATCATAAAATTGGTGGATGCAAGAAAATTTCGCATTAATAGAGAAACACGGCCATATGGGTTTCAAAGATAATGATGAGGGGATAATCTCAGAACAGGACACTTGCAAACCAGCAAATTTCCAACTTTTAACAAGAAAGAGTTCCGATTACAGACTGCGTGTAGTGCTGTTAATACTGCATTGCCTGTGGGATTCGCGTTAGGGTCACATTAGATTAGGTTGAGAACAAAAAATGCTGGACATGTAAATTTGCTAAGAAAACAGTAATGTTCTTCATACTACTTACAAGCGTAATACGTATTGAGCAGTATATAATTTCGGTCGAATGTTGTGTATCTGGTAACAATATGGTCACAGTAATGTGTAAATGAGGTTTCCTTAGAAGTCGACCAGCTCCGCTTAAACTGTAGAAGATTGTACTTTCGTTTTCACTTGCCTTTCTTATGTTTTTCTGGTTTTCCACTAGCGGGTATGCAGATATCAAGTCATGCATTAAAATTGCCTACCAACCACACTTTCTCCTCGCCATCGTGAATAGCCCTAGTATGTAGGGCAGCCAAACACAAGACACAACACACATGCAAAAGCTGCATTTGAATGCCTTTTTCCGCTATAATTATCACGATTGGTCGTGTTAACAAACAACCAGTTGCGTTTTTCAGCCAACTTGGGTATTTTATTAAGTCATTGAGTGCATTGAATGCATTCACAAGTGGCACTTCTTTCTGCATTTCGCGTGGAATTATGATAAGAGCATAAAAAATATGATTTTTTTTTTTAATTCAATTGATTGCTGTGAGCATTTTGTTGTTATTTTAGTTGAACATAATTATTGACTAGCTCAGCAATGTAGTAAATATGTATGTATGTATGTATGTATGTATGTACGTATGTATGTTGAATGATGACAGCTACGCGTTTAACGTTTTATTGTTAATAATTATTATGTCTTAATTCAAAATCAGTGGGCGGTGCGCTGAAAATTGTTAGCTAATTAATTATTATTATTATTATTATTTTATTTTATTTTATTTTATTTTTTTGAATGTAGGACATATTCATATATTGCGAAACGCTTCATTAAAAGCAGTTGTCTACTTTAATTAAATTGCCTTAGCTGAAAGAAGTAAAATAAATTAATTTTAATAATATAATTTAAGTTTATTTGAGATTGTAGTCCGGTGTGTTGGTTTCAAATTATCTTTTCTTTAAGATTTTTTTTATAGAAAAGTCTTCTAAAAATCTTCTTTGAAATTTCAAGACCGATGTTTTAAATATTTTTGTTTTTATAGGCACAAAAAAAAAATCGCACGCCGTGGTGTGTAAGATTCTGAGGTAGTTTATCAGTTAACATTTTTCGCTCGACAAACGCACTTCGCTTTAAGATGGTAATCAAACGTTTTCACCACACATGAGAATAGAGGTGAATAAAGATCAGTTCAAGCAAATTATAAATCTCATAAGAACAGTTTACAAGACTTTAGCATGTGATGACCTGTTGAAAAGATGCTTGGATGGAAATACCCAAAATAATAATTATGGAAGTTCGCCCAAAGCACATTTTTACTGGGAAAGCCATACTGGAAATCACTACAAATGCTACTGCCTGTATCTTCAATGAGGGTATTTACCTGTACTCAAAATTATGGAGGTGATGGGTGTCAGCATAGTTAAAAACAGCCAGAAACTATGCTGAAATTGTAGACAATTCATGAATTTTACGAGCGGAGAAAACTGCAGAAGCCAACAGTAAAGAGGCCAGAACTTTACGCAGGGCTCTGAAAACGGCTGGATATGATTGTTTTGAGAGACAGGCATAGCTGATTGATTTATGAAAGTCTTATTTGTTGTCAAAACTTTGAACGTGTTCATCTCGAAACTATGTTTTTAACTTTTTGGTGAAACACTGACTAGAAACTATTTAAGTGATTTGGTTTTTGGCTTTTTTAAAACAATTTCTTAGCAAAAAAAATTTGATTTTCGGTGCCCGTTTTCACAAGTTCATCATTTCAGTTTTTTTATGCATGCATCTAGTTCACTAGATTGAACTATAAAAAATAATAATCTTTTCGTTTTTTTTTTTATTTTAGATGACTACGAAAAACTGTGTGCTTCCCTGAAAAAGTTCAACCGGCCTTTGAGGAATCCACTTCAACTTAAAAAATTATGATAAAATCAATGTAAAATTAAGTAAAAAGAAATTAGTTGTGCTCGAAAGTAGCAATAAAAACTGTAAAAAAATACAAAACAGTCGCATATTATTTTTCTGCTGAAAAAAAATAACGAAAAAACATTGAAATATCAACCGTCCCACCGAAATAAAAAAATTAAATAAAATAATTTAAAAGAAAATTAAAAAAATAAATATGAAATAAAATAAAACAAAATTAAATGAATCAAAACCTTAATTAAAAAATCTAATTAAAGAAATAAAAAATTATTTAAAAAAAATAATTAAGCAACACATCATAAAATTAAGTATTTTAAAATAAAGCAGAACAAAATAATTATAAAATTGCAATAAAACTAAACTAAACAAATAAAAAGAAACAAAATAAAATAAATTAAAATACCAAAAGAGAAAATAAGATAGTATAAAAGAAATAAATTAAAATAAATTTAAGTAATTAATTAATTGAAATAAAATACAATATGTTAAGATATGAATATACAAAAGGCAATTTGTGATATGCGACTTGGTGTTTTTACAGCAAATAGTGAGACCTAAAATGTACACTAAGTCGCCTCCGAGCGACTGATGGCTTTTCTATGAGGAGACTTTATTTCATGTCAAAAGTACCACTGACGTCACTTGCCGAGGTGCAAACGCAATTAGAAAAATTAACTGTATTTCTTTATTTGAACTATTTTGCTATAAACACTCATCAAAAGACACTCGGCTATTGCTTCTGGTAGAGTAAAATATGATAAACTGAAAAAAAATTTGAAAAATTGAAAAAAAGCAAAATTTATAATAAAAAAAATACTTTAAAAAAGAAAATTAATAAAATTCAATTAATGAAAAAATAAGTTAATTAAAATAAAATAAATTAAA